CTTTTGATTTTTTTCTCCAAAAAAAAGTTATCCCAAAAGAAAAACCATCAAAGATTTAATTAATTGAAGAGAAAACAATAAAAGTTAAGGCTAAGAGATAAATAATAGATAATATTCTCCGGTTGAATGAGGAATGTTATTTATTAAAAACATATCACGAGAAGAGAGATGAAAAGTGCTGGCCAGAATATTAAGTATATGTGTGTATGTGTGTGTGTGATAGTAAGGATAGGTCTCGGAATCATAGATTGACGGACGGGTGTGCTTAATGCGAATCACATCCGGCAGAACGAACGCATTCACGAGACACGGCAATTACATCCTCGGGCGTAGCTGACGCACGCGACCGCATTTACGCGCATCGCACATTTACAAACTCATCCAAGCTCTATAGCACATATAACATATAGCACTCACTCACGGTTCACGGTGTATAAAACGCATGAGAGTTTGCTATAGTGTGCTGATCACCAGACTCAGTTTTACAGTATCTGTCACAGTCGTAACACATAAGTATCCCCCTTGCGGTACCGCCGGGAATCATTTGATCCTCATTTTTTTTTCTCGCTCGGCTTTTTTTCCGTCAAATGGCAGTCTCGTGCCGAAACTCCCTTCCGTTCTTTCACTACTATACTTGTTCACGCTGTATTTACTCTCTTGTTTTTTTTTATCGTTCATTCGTTCATTGGTTCGGTTTCGTGTCACTTTTTTTTTCTTTTTTAGCTTTTTTTTCCACTGATTCGTTGTTTCTGGCTCTCTTCTCTGCTCGCCGAATAATAGTTTACGATTAACGATTTACTCCGGAAACGGAAGCGTCCAGGAGAATCCAACGGGCCCGGTGAAACGCACCAGCAATTTTTTTCCGGGAAGATTGTTATTAGTTAAATCGAAAAGGAAACGAATCAACCATGAATTTTGTATTTTAATTTAGTTATGTTACGAAAATATTTATATATAAACTTGATACTAAACTACTACACTAAAAAGAAAAATATTTTATTGCACGCCTCATAAGCGAAGCGGACGAGATTGTGCTCTACACTCGCTTTACAAAAATCAAGCGATTTCTTGAACTAAAATTGTCTCTATTTATTTTCTATCGCACTTGTAGAACAATATTTACATATAAATGTAATGAAAAAACACTAGTTTCAACACTTATGACATTTTTAGAAGACATTTTGCTTTTTAAATAAATAAAAAAAATGTTTAAAAAAATTATTCCGTGTTTGTCCGACTGTCAAATGTATGTATGAAAACTGGTGTGGTCACAATAACTGCCGAAAAACTTAACTGATCAAGTCCATTTATTTTTTATATGCTTCAGTATGATTTAAAACTAAGTCTTTTCGAAGATCACGGTCTAATTCAATGTAGTTTATTTATAATTAGCAATAAACTAAAAATCCACAAACCGTTTGTATATCTATATCTATATAAATAAGGTTCGTTTACAATACATGCGCAGTACCTTTCTTTTTTGGGTGGACAATGGCGCGAAAGATTTAAAAGTATTTGTATTTTATTTCAATCAATTTTACTATGGAAAATGAGATTATGAGGCGTGCACTTTTGGATTTTCCAAACTTTTATTAACTCTTTAGTAGGGAGAAGATTTATCGTTCATGCGCCATCTATTGGAGATTTCTAAAACTAAATTTAGTCAAAAAAATTATATGGGCTTATAAAATTTACTCGGGACATATTAAGAATTTTTTTTTTGGTACAGTCAGTCATTATTAAGTTTTCTAAAAATTTTGAAAAATACATCAAAGTATGTAAAGTATATTTAAATTTACTTTGACGTTTCTATAAATATCTCGGTCATGTTGTGTTGGAAAATAAATAATACAATGGCTAGAGCGTGTAATTTATTATTAAATGGCTTTGATACTCGTTTTACATTACGAGTAAAAACATAACACGTTTTTTATATTTAGAGTAAATACTGTTTGGTTAGGAGGTAAAAAACGTAAGGCGTGCACTTTTGGATTGTCCAAACTTTTTTAAATAATGTTCTTTATTCAAAAATAAAATTATTCTGAAGACAACTCATTTTCTTGATTCAAGAATTTCTTGTCTTGAGTTTCGACACATTTTTAAAAGTATTCAAAGTTTCTTTGATAAAAGAGAAACAAGTCGATAAAATATCGGACCGACGTTACCGCCTACTTTAATTCAATAAATCCAATAATTTGTTCAAAAACAGTAAAGTACTTTAGAGTAAAATTTTTTCAAAGAATTTTCTGCTCATTCAAAAGCTTTAATTTATTTATTAAAATCAAGGAAAATTGAATTTTTTATAAAAATATATTTAATAAAAGTTGATTGATATCTACGATGATTGTAGATATCTATAATTCTTTCTTGAGTTAAATGAAATTATATTAATATAATATATATATTTGAGATTAACAATGAGACAGACAAAATGACAAAATGAGTAGGATCCTTGACAGTAGGATATTACTCATCATCAACCAAGAGAACGCGAGCTGCAGTAGACCAGGCCAGGATAACTAAATTGCTGGAACTAACGCCCGAGCAACGAGACGAATCTCTCTCACGGTTTAAACAGAAATGTATGCCGTCGTGTGCCAAAATGTCATTCTCTCACTTATATTACTAAAATAGATTCTAAGTGCTAAGAAATTAAATTAAAAACTAACAAAATCTTTAAAGATTTAATTAAAAACATTTTATAGCAGTTAGTTATGATTTCTGAGCGTGCAAGGACAGAAAGTACACGCTACCGCCTTCGAATGGAACCGCATTTTTCATAAGCGTCTCTTGAAAATAAATATTCTGTCGAAATTATTCACAAAATTCCTGAATATTCATCGAGATAAACAAAAATCAATAGTACTGAAAATAAACCATCAACTCTGAAGTCAAGATAATTAGAATTATCGTGAGTTAGTACACATAAAATACCGTTGGATAGGTGAATATGACCTGTCACTCATGCTGTAGTCTCTTGCTGACTCGATGCAATTATAGAGCCCTAATTACACCCCCACCTGATAGCGCCAGCACCCCATTACCCTTTCCAAGCCCCACTAACTCTTCTATCTCTCTCTCATCTCTACTATTACAGTCCTCTTGTAGTTCCTCACTCCACTGTGCGCTTCGGTTAATTAATTCCTATCTCATTAACAGTACAGCCCGAGTACATTCTCTTATTCTCTCAGCCGACCAAATCCTGATTATCAACATTCTTTTCTCTGATTTTCATCTTGAATAAATTATAATTAAATTCTACGACTTAAAAGTTTCAATCTGTAACCTGTGTATGAAAAATTTCTTGACTGGAGAACAAAATTCTTGGCTCAAGAAAATTTTCGGATGCCTGAAGGAAGACCGAAGTTGTGTTGGCCGAAGTAAAAATTTTTCTTGAAATTCTATTCTTGGTGGAAAGAATTTTTCCCTGATTAAAATTATCATAGATATTTGATACAATAAATTTTTATATTTGATCAAGATTTTTAGATACTTTAAGGAAACAGCGCCACCTACTTCAGCTGAGAAAAAAATTTTCTCACCTTGAGAAAATTTTTCTCTTGAATATTTTATACCCATTTTAAATTATTTTAGCGTGCAATTATAAATATTGAATGAAAAAAAATGATGAAATGTTATTTGATCTTCCCATTTGACATGTTAATCAATAAAAATATTAATGAAAATTTTCTTCTATCTTTATATTTAATTTTTTGGAGCAAGAGAGAAATTTTCTCAAGACAAGAAAATTTACTTCTATCAAGAACTAAATTTTTTGGAGCAAGAGGCTGAATTTTCTCAAAACAAGATTTTCTTGACTTAAATAAATTTTCTTGGATCAAGATACGTATTTCTTAAAGCAAGAGAATTAATTTTGTTGGAATAAGAGAAATTTCTTGTCAAAAAAAAATTTTTTTTTCCCTCAAGAAAATAATTAGGAAGAATAAATATTTTCTTGGCTCAACGAGCCTTTTTTTCTGCGTATCCATATGCAATTTTTGAAAGAGCCTAATGTGAAAATTGGCTATATCAGGATATATTTAGCTAGATATGCGCATTTATCATTTTTTTTTGGTAAATGTAGTATTGGAAATTTTCAACAGATGGTGCACGATCGCTAAATTTTCCCCTTACAAGAGAGTTAAGCTTCAGAAATTAAATTATAAAATAAAATATTATTTTTTTCACCCAGATTAATGTTTATATTTTTTAAATTGTGATAATATATGACGGATTGCACGACTAAAGAGTTATCAGTGTTGACGAGATAAATAAATATCCAAGAAACACAAAATTACAATTAATTAATTAATTAACGACAATTAGTCAGCCGTTTTGATAATTTCATAATCAGTGAAACTCATAATTATAAATAAATAAATAATTAGCTCGGAGATAAATTAATTAATTCATCAGAACTGTGTCTATAGTTTTGACCTTTCAATTAATCGCTCGCTAATGATTGAACCCATCTTTTTTATAAACTCAAGCTTAAATTATAAATTTTTTGACAATCATTCAGTTATAAAAATCAATTAAATGATTTTTCAACATTTATAGATAAAAATAATGAGAGAAATTTTTATCAAGCTCATTTTTAATTATCTATTAAATTGTTATCACATTAATAGCGACTTTTTGGGTTTTTAAGTAGATTAAAAAAAAATTAACAAAGTCATTGAGTCTCAAAAATATTAAAAAAGTATAATTTGTCGAGATAAAGCGTTTAAAATTATTTTTAATTATACTTAAGTTTTTTATTTCAAGTAAAATGGTGAAATATTAATTAAAATCATAACTAGTCCACTTGTTAGAATGATGACTATTATTATTAGAGATATCAAGAATATAATTAGATTTAGGTATCCGTAATTACTTATAAAACGCATGGGCAGCTGTCCTCGTTCGAAGAAGTCATTTTAATTGCGTTGTGGTTCACATTTTTTTTTTTTAAATTTGAAACCAATATTTTTACTAAGTAAATATCCAACAATTAAAAAATGTCTATTCTTATGATAATTGTGTTTGTAGTAAGCATCAAATTCTCTGTAACAACACTAGTTTCTTTTAGAAGTTATGATATCGAATGGCCAGTCGGTAATTTACACAAACTTTTATCAAATATTTAAAGTCTACTGTAAAAAAAAAAAAACTTAATTACAGAGAAATCTGTTATTTAACAAAAAAAAAAAAAAATTCTCAGTTTAAAATTTCTTCCGCTTGAATCAAAATGATCAAAGTTATTATACAAATTTTTTTCTTTTTAATTAAGTTAATTTATTATCATTGTATACTTGATAATTTAATTTTATTCTGAATAAATAAATAAATAATAATAATTCCGGTTGTTTAAAGGTTCCTTAACATATTTCAACAGTTTATACTCTGTAACTATCAATGAAGAACATTTGAATCGTCAAAAATTGTGTTCTGGAAAATGTAATCTGATTGATAAATCAAAAAGAATTTTCACAAACTCTTTGAATTATCCAAACGAATGTCACGGATTAATTCAATCTTGTTGGCTTCACCAGGTAACGTATAAATTTAATCAAAAATATATTCAATAAGCAAATTTGCGCTGATAGAAGAGTTTACTATAACCATTAATAAATTAATTAGCAATTATTTTTTTATTTTTGATGTATTTTTTGACGAGTGGAACATTTATTAGTAGTTGATTTATTTTTTATGTAAAAAATTCACATATTTATACTTTTCAAACGGGTATTTTAATTTATATTTAGAAAAATGAAAAGAGACAGTCGGCCTGGGATGATTATTCATTAATATTATACTACATAAGAAATTATCAATCAATTAAAGTTCTACGAAAGCGGATAAATAATGCTTTGTATAAGTATCATCATACTGGTAATATTTGCAAATGTTTATGTGAACGCACTTATAATCCGAAACTTACTCCTCGCGGGCAACTACTCGATTCTGTTTGTTTCGATCCAGTTTCAGTCGACACCGGAAAGTAAGTTCAAATTTTTACCAAATCAGATTATCTAAGAATTGAAGTTGAAATTCTTTTGATTTAAATTTTCAATTTCTACTAAAAAATACTTTTTCTGCAGAGTTGCTACAGGAGCAAGGTTTAGAGTTCGAAAGAATAGAATTCACCTCGAACTTCAGCAAGGAATTTTGACAAATGGAACAATTGATCCGCAAACGGTTACATGGAAGGAAGCTACTGGATGTAAATATTCAAAAAAGGTTGTTTACGATTTTAGAAACGGTGCATACAAAAGCTTAAAAATCACGTTGGAAGATATTGTTTTACCGAATAATGTGGCCGTGACAGGTATGTACACTAATAAAAAATAAAATGATTTATTTATTTTAATTTTGCAATAAATTTTTCTGAAAAGGTAAAACACTTTTTAAAAATTAAAAATATTTATTATAATGCGATAAATTAGTTCTTCGAATTAAATCAATATTTTAAATGTTAAACTGATGTAAAAATTAATTAAATTCAAGAGAAAAATTATTGAATCAAAAAGATCTTTTTGAAAAATTTAATAAACTTGAATTAAGTAGAAAAATTGTTCACTTAAGAAATTATTCTTGATTCAAATAAATTTTATTTAGTTTAAAAATTTTTCTACTTGATTTAAGACGATCAATTTGTTAACAAACAAATATTTTTAAAAATCTTATAAATCAAAAAGGTGTAACATTTGGCAAATCAGTACACGGACAGCGTATTGATGATGACGGTAACATCGATTCGAATTGGACGATAACTAAATCGTCTATGTGTGGTGGAAAGTAATGACAATGACAATAAATAATAATCAATAATAACTAAAGTAATTAGTTGATTAAAAGGAACGATCAAAAATCAATAATTGGCTTTCAGAACAAAAGATTTAGTTCACGTTTCCAAAGTTCTCGTGGCATCGACGTCCTTGGTAGGAAAAAATCTAGTACTCAGCAAATCATGCCGACACCATGTACTGTTTGGCGGAACTTCGGAAAAATATGATAATATTCAACACATAGTTCCGTACATAGATTTGCAAGAAGTAACAACAGATCCTCCGGAACCGTTCAATGGAATTGGTTGGTACTATCGAGGATTGCCTGGTTATGGGGGATTTTTGGCCCTACAAGTGTTCAAATATAGATAACATAACATTTAACTGTTAATGTTAATTTAAAATAAAAACTAATAAAAGGCATTAGTTTAGGTCAAGGCATTTTTTATCATACCAAATTTAACTTTAGAGCTCATTTTATTATACATATACGCCAGTCACAAAATTTTAATTCTTCTACGTATAATAATAATTGAAATAAATTTTTTCACCAAATTTAAGAATTGTTTTATTGAATTTTTTTAATATATGGAAAAATTTTTTACTGAAAAAAAAATGTGAAATTATTTTTAATTGTTTTTCTTGAGAAGAAATTTATAAAATTAATAATTTATAGTTTGTTAAAACTATAATTAATAATTTGTTAAAATATGTTAAGAAGAAATTATAATTAAGTTAGCTGACATTGAAAAAATTATTATCAAAAAAAAATTTTCATTTGTAAAAAACTATAAATGCAAATTAAAAAAATGTTTTTTATTTCTAATTTAATAAATAAAATAAAAATAAAAAATGTCGGCTAACTTTAGTATTATCAAGAAGCAATATAAAAATTTCAATTTTTCTTTCAAAATCTAAAAAATTGTCGATATCAAAGTATTCTTGTAAAATTTCTAAAAATAAAGCAATAAGCATTTAATTGCGCTCACCTTTGCTATCGAACTGCGTTAATTGTTTTTTTGTTTCGAAGTACATACTCGTTTTTTATAGCTTTAAAAATATCGCAATAATTTATTGTTGTAAAGAACTATTTGAAAAAAACGTCTACGTGGATCATTCCACATCATCATTACATCTAGACGACATGATCAGTTATTAATAATTCCTCAAGCTATCTTCACAAAGCAATGGCAAATTTTTGGAATTGGAACTTAGTCTTCAGTGTTACAGTAATTGTAAATCTGAAAATATCATCAGTGATAGCACATCAATTTATTACGATGAGTAGAGGTGACCCGAATATTACAGAACCAGATAATTTAATCTCAAATAATCCAAATTTCTTTACAACTAATTAATTTCCTAACTTTTGCTTGATCCATCAAGGTACATTTGAGTTTTTCAACAATATTCATGGAATTATTATCGATGAAGAAAATTTGAATGATGAAAAATTTTGCACTGGAAACTGTGATCACTTTGACACAGAAAATAGGAATAGATCGTCTTTTTTGAGATATCCAAATGATTGCAACGGACGACTGCATTCTTGTTGGCTTTATGAAGTAAGAAATTTATCAAATAAAAGCAAAGAACTCAAAAATTGACATCAATACCTTGAATTTTTTGTTTTAGGAAACTCAAAAAAGGAAAGATGCGTACGCAAATCACTACTTAACTGCAATTTCGATGGGCAATCGTTACAACGGATTTTTACAGCAGAAAGTAGCCAAGACTTATAACACTTTTATTCATACTGGGAATATTTGTGGCTGCTTATGTGAACGTTCTTACAACGACAGTTTTACTCCTCGTGGTAAATTACTCGACTCAGTTTGTCTTGATCCTGTTGTAGCCGATGAAGGAAGGTGAGTATTATTATGGATTGATTAATTAAAGGAAATTATTTGACAAAAACAATTGATTTTTTAGCGCCGTAACTGGTGTTGGATTTATAAGGTACGACAACAGAATACACATTCAACTTCAGCAAGGAATCTTGATCAATGGAACAATTGATCCAACAACTGTAAAATGGAAAGTTGAAAGGAATTGTAAGAATGCACAAAAAGTGGTGTATAATTTTAAAAATGGTCAATACGAAGGTTTAAAAATTGTTTTGGAAGATATTATTCTAAAGGAAAAAACAGTCGTCACAGGTAATTTTTATAAAAATAACAATTAATGTGTTGTGATAAAAAGTAAGGCCAATTTGAATTTCAACGATTTTATTTAACAGGTGTTGCATTTGGACTTGCTGTTTATGGGCGAGATATTGATGAGTATGGCAATATTGATCGTAAAAAAGGGACAAAAATTCAATTCAGTCAATGCGATGATATTTCAAGGTATGACTATTTCGACGTTCTAATTAGTAAATTGTCTAACTCCATTTGATAGAATCTTCTACTTGTACGAAAAAAACAATTAGTTCAAAATTTGTTATCACTTAAAAAAACCATTTAATATCGTTAATATCTAATAGAGATATAATATTCAGGTTTGAATCATTCAAATAATTTATAATTGGATTATTGCTAAATCAAAATGTTAAAAAATCACCCTCTAAAAAATAAGAAGTTAGACAAATTACTAATTAGACCGTCGATTTACAATAATTAAATTTCTTAAAGAAAGATGACTTTTGCAGAACTACTGATGTAATACGTCAACGTCAAAGTCTTCTGCCACCTACTTCATCTTTTGCGGGTAATAAAGAAGGCAAAGGTCTATGCAACTATCACGTATTATTCGGTGGAACATCATTCGAGATGGATAAAACACAACATATCGTTCCTTTCATAGACATGCAAGAAGTTGTAACAGATCCACCGATGCCAATTCATGGAATTGGTTGGTCTCATAAAGGTTATCCTGGCACCAGTGGATATTTATCTTTGAAAGTTTTTTTTAAAGAGCATTAATAATACCAGTATTGTCTTCTGTGGCTAAACAATTGTAACAATTTCAAATAACTAACATCATTTTTGAATAAATTATGATTGATTTTGATGGAAGCTAACGAGCTCTTAATTGAAATAGAGAATTTTTTTTAAGTTAAGGATTATTTTTCATGAATTGACTATTTATAATAATATTAGGGCACTATAAAAAATTTTTTTTGCCATTAATCTTGAAATTCAAATTAATTAATGCATAAAGATCTATATAAATTTTTTTTCCAATTTTTTATAACTGAACAGGTGTACAATTTAAGACTTATATTATGAGAACTTGAGTTTCAAAAGGGTATCTTTTCATTTTTAATTAATCGAGACAAAAAACTGGTTATCTTCAATTATAAATATTTTTATTGAACTTTTTTAATTTAGCTATAAAGTTCTATCGGTTATGAAGCTACAATTCGATTTTCATTACGAAATCTTTATAATTGTCGAAGGAATTAATATTTAAAAGTTCAAAAAACTGCACTTTTAAAATATGGAAAGATACCTTTTTGAAAATCAGCTCCTCATATGTTCTTTTGATTTCAGAAAAAAAATGTTTTTTCATTTTTAAGCTTAGAATATTCTTGCAAAGCCAAAAGAATATAATAAATGTATATAAAAAATTCTTAAACCAACAAATCCGGCTCTTCAAAGTTATTTTTTCGGATCAAAATAATCATATTGGAAAAAAATCAACGATTTTTTCTTGAATGTAGATTTTATTAATGAATTTGAATGACTTGTACAGAAATCAACAATTAATCAGATGCTATGCATGACTAACAAATCCATTGATGCCCGGAAACAAGATAAAAAACGTCCATTCTGCAGCAAGATTCGTTTAGTATTGTATGGGTATGTCGAAATCGAGTTAAATGATTGCACACGTGGCGTAACCTTAAACGAATTATTTAAACGACTGAAAGTGATGCGTTGACAGGGTGAGTTTTAGTGTATGCTCGATCACCATGCAGAATCCTCTCCCTTACCGGCCATTACACCTCCCCAGCCTTCAATCCGACAACCCCATGCGCTTCTTCAGTTCCTCGGCCCCTCGGCTGTCTTTTTATTCCCTTCATTACACCAGAAACCCAGGATACCCCGACAGAGCTCCAAACACTCAAGCTCCACTCTACCATTCAAATCAACAATCTAATAAAAAACAAATATGATTATTTCATCAGCAACCGCCAGTCAAAAGAATTATTCTATCAACTCCCAAGAGCTTTCTTCTAATTACGCCAATTACGGGGTTTTCAATTCTGTGCTTTTAATACAAAGAAAAATTTTAATTGATTGAACAAAGAAGAATTTTTAAAACAATATTAATCTTGAAAATGTTTTTTTTATAAATATATTAGTAACTTTTTTTTTGCATGGAAAATCAAAAAATCATTTAGCCCAAAAATCTTTTCCGTATATGTGATGTATTGACTTATAATTGGCACCAAACTTTAATATAACATTCCCTCTAAATATATTAATAGTTATTTTTAATTTCTAATAATTTAAAAATACTGAAAAATCGTTTAGATAACTATTAAATCAAATCGATCTATTTTTAAAATGATTCTAGGTTAAAAAACCGCAAAATCTCTTGCTTTTAGCTTCAATAGTACAAATCAGGACAGAAATATCTCAACTTATTTGCAAATAAAAGTGTAAAAGAGAATCGAAAGAAGGACCAAGCCTGGAAAAGACGACACAACGAGTGAGTTAAGGAACACGGAAAAGCACTTCTGGACTCTTGACGTGTCCCAACGTATCCAGCGTACTATCATCACTATTATTCGCCACCACCCAATATACCCTTAACTTCTCCAGCTTGAGTCGTTGCCTCGTTTGGATCGTCCAAATAATGTGATAGCAGTACCAGCGGAGGTTTTGGACTTTTCTCTGGAGTTTCCACCTTTCAGTCCACCTTGGGAAGATAATACATTAATTTTCCATTGTCATAGACATACATTGTGATCGATCGTTTTTGCTACATTACCACAGAAAACTTTTTGCATTAACTGATTTTACTTTTAGACTGTATAGTACTTCTCGTCCCCGATCCTGATGCGATTCATATCATGAATGCAGTAATGCTTTTAAACTTTTTAAATTAAATTAATAAATACTACTCCCACTTTTACTCTCTTGTGTGTTTGTGCTGGCAATGTACACCGTGGATGCTCTATATACAAAAAGAATATTAATTTAGCGAAATTAAAAGTCCTTTTTTTAATTTAGTTTTGGTACAGAACGATGCGTCATAATCAGACGGTCAAGTTACTTAGCCTCGAGCTTAATATAAGGGGTCGCTAAAAGGAATCGAAGTGGAGGGGGTTGAAGAAGAGACCGAGCTAAAAAGTGTGCAAGTGGAGTCCTTGTGCTTAAGTTAATTAACTAATTAGCGAATTTAATCGGATGACGCATGCGCGTCTCGGGGGATACAAGTAAACCCTCTTAGGCAAAAGAGCCACCCGCTCTTGTCAAGAGACAAGCTTAATGTAAGGCTGGGGGGCTGAGAAATAGAAAAGAGATGCCGAATTTTTTTTTTTTTATTGCTAGCATCGCTAGATGGATTTTTTATTCAATTAAAGAGACGGTAATGGCGGCCAGTTTTTCTTGAGAGAAATAGCTGGTGATAATTTTTTTTTTTAATTAATAAATTCATTTGATTGCTCTAAAAAAATATTGGTAATTTTTGCCTGTTAACCCGTGGAGGCCAGGCGAACTGAGGCAGTTTTAAATTTAGGAGATTTATAAATGAGACTTAGTCTCATTTATGACTTATTTCATTGATATTCTTGAAGATATTTCTATTTTTTTATTGTAATAATTATAATAAAAAAATTTATGACAAAAAACTAAATCTTTCTATATTATTTTGCATGTATGTTTGAATGTCTTAATCTCATTTTAAGAGACTGAACGAATTTCGTAACTTCAAACTTCAGAATATTTTTTTTCGATATCATAAAAATCAAAATTTCTGCGACCGATTAGAGCTCAGTTGATTTTATATCACTGTTTGTAATCGGGGTTGCAAAATTTTTATTTTTTAATTAAATTGAAATAATATATTAAATTGTCGGATTTAAATTTTTTAAAGGTGATAGTTTGCATTAAGAAATTAATTTTAATGATTAATAACATTTTTTTACTACAAAAAAAATTAAAATTAGTGAAAAACTAGTAGGTTCAAGAGAAATATTTCTGATTCAAAAATAAAATGGTTTTAAAGAGAACTTCAAGATTTTTTCATCTTGAATCTTGTTTATTTAATGAAGAAAAATTAGAAATCTAAAAATATTTGCAATAATAAATTAATTTTTTGTGGATTCTAAGAAGAATTAAGAAATTTGCCATTATAATCTTTTTTAATCCAAAAAACACTATAGTGTTTTTCTTTAATTATAATTAATAATTAATTTTTCTTTAATTATAATTAAAAAAAAATTTCTTAAAATAAGGTACAGTTATTAAAGAATTAACGCGCCCTAGAGTAAACTATAAAATCTAACTTGGATTTTTTGAAAAAAAAAAAAATCTTAAACACACTTGTCATGTATACGGGTGTAATTGATCCCTCTTATAGAGGTGTTATTACCCATAATATGCTAGATAATTGAGATAAATAGAAACGTATGCCCGTATGAGTAAATACCAAGGATTTAATTTACTAATGGCCCTCATGTCCTTGGATTTGACCACCAGATGCGGGTTAAAATTGTCAATTCAAATGAACAAAAGTACCATTTAAATACACTAATAGAATTATTTTTTAGCATTTTAAAAGATTTTTTAACATTTAATAAATGATTCCTTAATAAACATTATAAAATAAATTATTCTCAAAAATTAATCCACATGATACATTAATAAAAATGAAAATATGAAGGGCTCAAGAGATGAAGATGAGCAGGTTTAATTACAGTAAAGTCTGATAGAGGATTACGTGTAACGCGCATGGTAATTAATCAACATTAGCATGCATTACTCGATTACTCTCAGCGGCGGAGGTTGCGAGTGGAAGAGAGACAGAAGCAGGTGAGTGGCGCGTGGCCGTTAATAGGTAAATTTCGGGAAGGGAGTGATGGGGGTAACTTCGACAACTCGATATCAAGGCGCTTGTCCTCCATGTCCCACTCAGCCGCAGTATGTCCTCGTTGCGAACTAATTAGAGGCTACGAGCCGAGGTAGTAAGACAGCCGCTAGTTGGTAGGCGAAGAGAGACACAGAGAAAGAGAGGGAAAGAGAGAGAGATTGTCTGTCTGCAACTCGTTAGAGGGTGTCCAAGTGTGATGATATGAGCCTAGACCGGTTGTTGGGTGTCTAAAGCCCTGGCTCTGTAGCCTTGAGAATGATTCCAGGATCGATAACTACTCCGATTAATGGATCTGATGCTCCTATCGTGTGAATGCCCTGTCTCGATTGCTCTGCCTTCATACTCTACTCTGTACTCTGTACTGTACTCTATACTCTGTACTCACTAATCGATTGTCGATGATACAGACAAATCATATCTGGTCTATTACTATATTATTAATTACATAATTACGAGTTAATTTGTTCTTTTTTTTTTATTTTTGTAATGTACTGTAATCTGGTTGAATGAAGTAAACAATTAATTTCGGCAAAAGCTTTGGAGTATAATTATATTAGTTTAATTTGATATTATTAATGTAATTGTAAAATTCGATATTTAATTAGGTGGAATAATTAAGGTAATTATGCTTAGTACTGAGGAATTTGTGGCAAGTGGAGAGGAGTAATGAAATTAAAATTTTATACTTTGTATTGAGAGAAAGGAATTTAACTATTTTAATGATTTTATTGCACGCCAAGGAGAACCCAACGGCCCGGTGAAACGCACTAGCAATTTTTTTCCGGGAAAATTATTATTAGTTAAATCGAAAAGGAAACGAATCAACTATAAATTTTGTATCTTAATTTAGTTGTTACGAAAATATTTATTTATAAACTTGATACTAAACTATTACACTGAAAAGAAAAATATTTTATTGCACGCGTCATAAGCGAAGCGGATGAGGTTGTGCTCTACACTCGCCTTACAAAAATCAAGCGATTTCTTGAACTAAAATTGTCTCTATTTATTTTCTATCTTACATGTAGAACAATATTTACATATAAATGTAATGGAAAAACACTAATTTCAACACTTATGACATTTTTAAAAGACATTTTGCTTTTTAAATAAATAAAAAAAATGTTTAAAAAAATTATTCCGTGTTTGTCCGGCTGTCAAATGTATGTATGAAAACTGGCGTGGTCACGATAACTGCCGAAAAACTTAACTGATCAAGTCCATTTATTTTTTATACGCTTCAGTATGATTTAAAACTAAGTCCTTGCGAAGATCCCGGTCTAATTCAATGTAGTTTATTTATAATTAGCAATAAACTAAAAATCCACTAACCGTTTGTATATCTGTATCTATGTAAATAAGATTCGTTTACAATACATGCGCAGTACCTTTCTTTTTTAGGTGGACAATGGCGCGAAAGATTTAAAAGTATTTGTATTTTATTTTAATCAATTTTATTATGGAAAATGAGATTATGAGGCGTGCAGTTTTGGATTTTCCAAACATTTAGAAAGAAGAGTCAATATTAATGATCTTGAATCAACTAGAAAAATTCATGGCTTAAATAAATATTTCTCGATTCAAAAATTTTTTTCTTGATAAAAATCAATATTTCAAGAGATAATAAATGGAAAATCTATTAATTACTGAAATTAATTATGATTATAAAAACAACATTTACTATCGAACATCAAACACAATTATTAACGTACACCCACATGAATTATCGTAATTGGAAATATAATAGACACATAAATCGCTGTTGTCAAACGAGCAACTAATAAATCCGCCTGCTCTAACAAGGCTAATTACATTTATTTATTCATTCGGTACAGATTATT